AAAAAAACAAAAACCCTTTATATTCAATTACCTGTTTCTATGGCATTGTGCCATCCATTAAGAATAATAGGACAACAAAGACCTTTTCAAGTATTTCCAGTGACAACACACAATGCCAGAAGGTCACCCCACTTGAGAACAATTCAAAATTACCTAACATATGAAGAAGAAAAAAAAAATCCCACTTCATTGAACTGGGTTGTCTCTGAAAGGTAAATCAGTTGTAGATGTACATCTAATTTTTGTTTTCCTGAAAGTTTCAATAAAATCTGTTTAGTGGTTCATGAGGTATTTTTGTAACTCTCTCACACACTCACAGACAGACAAACAGACAGACAGACAGAGACAGACAGACAGACAGGTTTTCATCTGCCTTCACCTTTTAGTAGCAGGTGATAATAAAAGTCAATTTCAGTGAAAGGACATGTTCAGTTCAATAAATGCCAAGGTTGTACAAACAAGTGATTTAACATTTTTTGGAAGGGTGAATGTCTTCCTCCTTCCTCTACCTCTGTTTCTCAAGTATATCTTTGGCCCTTAATTTTAAAGGCATGAGAGTCAATGCTTAAAATACCCCAGCTGTCAACAATTTATTTAAACAGCCCCCACGTGGTTTTGGTTTATTCACAATCCTCTGTAATTGTGTGAATGCTAATTAAGCAACCACACAATTGTTTTCCTGTTTATATTTATTATTATAGTTACTATACTTCAGCTCTTTCAGGAGAGGGATGCTATGATTTTTGATATTGGTGCATTTGAGATATTTAGCCTTTTCTGCCATACCCCCCCCCCCCCCCCACACACACACACACTGAAAATGAATTGAGCTCATTTTACATCTTTCATATCTTTAGGTCCGTTTACAACATTTTACAGCACCTTTCACATTTTGTTCCAGTTCAGCGTCTTTCAGTTTTCTTTGTGTGAGTTTAAATGTTTATTTAGTTACTTTCAGTTAATTTCAGCTATTTTCTGCTCTTTTCAGATTAATTCTAACGTTGTGCTTCTTCTATCTTATTTCAGCTTGATCTGCCCCCTTCAGCTTATATCTGCAAGTTCCAGCGATTTCTGTTATTTCAGCTATTTAGATGTTTTTATGCTAATTTTATCTTTTTCAGCTGATTCCACATTTTTTGCACTGATTTAACTTTTTTCAGCCCAATTCAGCAAAATAGTGCACTTGCTTCTGGTAAATTAAGCTTCTGTTTTTTTTTTTTTTAGCTACTATTCAGTTTTTTAGGTAGGTTTTTTTTGCTAATTTCTGCTTTTTTTCAGATAATTTCCATTTTTTTGTGGTTATTTCTACTTCTTTGAATGCTAATGTAGTTTCTCCACTTCCTTCTGGTAATTTGTTCTACTTTTTTTTAGCTACTTTTCAGCAATTTCTTATCAAATTTCTGCTTTTTTTTCCAGATAATTTCCATTATTTTGTGTTAATTTCTGCTTCTTTCAGCTTAAATGGGCACAATTGTGCTCACTCTACTTTCTTCTGGTGATTTAAGCTTCTGCTGTTTCAGCTACTTTTCACCTATTTCTTGCCAATTTCAGCTATTTTAGCCAATTTAACTATTTTTTAGCTTATTTCTGCTTATTTAAACCAAATTCAGAAAACATGTGTGCTTTCTTCTGCTAACTTAGGCTTGTTATTCCATTTAAGTTATTTCAACACTTTTTTTTTTGCTAATTTCAGCTGTTTTTCAGCAAGTTCTTCAGCAATAAGCACTCGCACTGTATGTTTGAAGGAAATGCAATTTCTCTAGTTTGCTATTACTTGGCACTTGAAATTATTTTCATTGCTTACAAATGAAGATTTCCATTGAATTCAGATGAAAAATACATCAAAGTAGGTTAACCTTCATTGAAAGTGTGCACCTGAACCTTTTCCATTGGTTAAGCTTGGTAGCCCTATCACAAGGGCACAAAGAAATCGGGACAACCCTTGGCAAGATGGTACAAAACATTAAAGCAGATTCCAGTGTATTCCCACTTACAAAGAATTGAGCAAACTTGTTAAAAAATTAAGCCAATAAAACATTTCATCAGTCCTTTCACTCTGTATTGCAGCTTAGTCGTTTTATTGTTGCAGTGAGCTGGGGCTTATCTGAGCTGCCGTACGGTATGGAGGACATCCTGGAGAGGAAAGAAGGTCACCACAGACACCATGCCTGATCTTGCTAATACTAAGTTTGGAATCACTAATTAACCTGAAATAGACTTGTGACTGATTGGAAACCAGAGCACACAACCACAGCAGCTAAAAAAAGAGAAAACATTAGAAAGATGAAAACATGGAAATTTTAATTCTTTTAAATCTTGTTTACCCCTCTGTCATTACAGCATTAAAACAATCATTCAGGTTTACTTTTGATTATTGTCCTTGAATCTATTTGGAAACAATGTTGATGAAATAGCCATTGGGACTCAGAAACATGGACACTTCAGCCTTTAAAATAGCTAAATGCCAAATTCAAGGCATTAAAAGTCACAACCCTTTAAATATCACTGACAAAACTTTTTATTTACACTTACTGTACTCCATGTATACCATGTGCCTAATGCACAGCAGCTAGCATATAAAGCACATTGAAAAGCTCACATTTGGAGGAAGAAGCATAAAGCAGCTGCTGGTTTGTTGTATAAATTACCAGTCACAGTTAAATAAACCAGTTGGCAGGGCTCTAAAACAGCACACCTCCCTGCTGATGATTTGTAACACTTTAGCAAGCAATAAGTGTGACATCCTTTGCATTGTTCATGATGAACCTTTTCTCTGCATACCCCAAGGGAGGTTTAGTTTAGTCCCAGAGGAGTTGGCAGCATTCGTCTGTTGTGCATCTTGTGTACTGAGCTCACTTCATCTGTATAACCACTGGTGCTAAAATGGTCCGCCATGCTTTGATCCAAACGCTTTAAACTAAAATATGCATGTGAAACAGAAGCAGCCAGCCTGTTTTTTTTCATCCTTAAAAGTGCAGCCCGGAGCTATTTTTGTCCATGCTTCATGCCTCTGTGTTATTATCCTGCCACTCAAAGCTAAATGCCACGAGGAAGAAGGATGCTACCAACACCTGCCTTCGCTCAGGGTGAGGCAGAGGAGTTAGTGGAAAGTGTACAAACAACTGCTGATTGAACAAGAAAGAGGCAGGGGGCACAGAATGGCAGATAAACATGCTCACAGTGTGGTTCAGGTGTTCCAACATGATGCAATCCACATTTAGAAATTAGGCCTCTGGTGATCACTACACTCCAATTTAGAGCTCTGCTTTAAAAGTAAGTGTTTCTGAAGGACGGATGACCAAAGCGGTAACGCAGCTGCAAATGTTGAATGCTGATGAAGGCGTCTGAATAACAGTTTTTGTGAACATCTGTGTGCACATCTATTCCTGCTTGGTACAGCATCAAACCTGTTCGGGTCTCTAACTATAGAGACTACAGCCACAATTAATAGAACCCTTAAAAAAGGAATGCACATCAGCCGCCGCCTTCGTTTTAAATCATCTTAGGATGCCACTTTCTACAGCTAGTGACAGAATCTGGTGGTGAGACTAACTATATTTCCATTTCTTAGATGAACCTTTAACTGGCGGCACCTCTATTGACTTTGATTTGAATATGGAGCTTCACAGGAGACTGTTATACATTTTAACAAACTAACGGATTGAAGTGATATTTTCTATATCAACAACTTCATTGTCTGTTTTTCACAAAAATGGTGACAACTTTTACTGTAGCATTTGTCTAAGTTGCAGGTGCCGTGGTCAAAACATATCCAAACCCTCCCCACCCACCAAGGAAGTCTGCCGATCCATCAGAGGGACCTGGCTGAATAAACATTGTCTCATTATTTCAGGACTCTTGGATTTTCTCTGGAGTTGCCCTATGTCGACCTTAGCACCCCTCGAGTGTTTACAGATCTCACCAGAAGGAACTGACTGATTGTACCATTCTTATCAGAACTCCTACAGTGCCTCTGGAGTGTCCTTGGACTCGCTCACCGCTCTTGTTGTCTCCTCTCCCCTGCACAATGTTTGCGTCACTATGTGCGGATTGTTTCTGTCAATATCAGGCTAGCTCTTCTCGGCCAGGGAGTGAGTTTAATAAGTTTATTTTTGCCTCCAAATCCTGCATGTGTTACTTACATTACTTTTTGTCCGTCTAAACAAGTCTCACTTGTAAATGAGTCTTCATGGCTCAATGTGACTTATCTATGTAAATAAAGGTTGAATGAAAAAAAGGCTCTCACATCAGCTTCTGTTTTAAATGTGCTCTATAAATAAATTTGACTCGACTTCAGAGCTACGATTTCAACATGTTCAAAGATAAAACTTGTATGTGAAGAGATAAAAAAAAAATTAAATGCCGTTACAACCCTTGGAATGAGTCTAGGAGGCACAGGGTGTAACAAATTATAAACTAAACTCAAAGCTAATAACTCAAACAGACCAATATGGCATTGCAATCATTTATTCTAATAGTTTTGGGCGGTGCAGAAAGAAGGGGAGCCATGAACTTCAGGGTCTGCAAAGCCAATACAACAAACCATAGAATTCCCCTTCTGGCTAGAAAAACTAATTCACCTCTCATCTAATTAAA